AATTTAATAAAAAAAAAAAAAAATTCTGAACTTGACTTTTGACATAAAAATTATAAAATGATTAAGTGCCCATAAAGGTTTACTTACATGCTATTCTATCAACATCAAAGACTAAAACATATCTAATGGTAAATTAGATTGTTCAGATTTTGTTAGACATTTGGCATCTCAGATACCTGACATAGATTAATTGCCAATAAAGAATGACCTGAAATAGTTTGAGGGCATGATGATATTCAGTATACCTACACAATGCTTATGTCATCATTATCATATTTTTGATAAAGAACCTTTTGTTTAAAGATCCTGTAACACAAATTTTTATGGTTTTATATCATAAATACTGAATCGCTCAAATTAAGATTTATCAATATTGTAAGTTCCAAATAGCATTATTTATAAAGATATTACCGAATTTAGCATTTCATGTTAATAAAGGGAGGTAATTAGAAATTTATTTTCCATAAAGTCTAAGTCAAACTTTTCAATAAGAAATGAATGCATATATTTCAATGATTACAATCATATAATGTGCAAAAATAATGCAGTACATATTTTACATATAATTCGATGTTTGAAAATTGTGTTATGAGCATAATTATATACATAAATAAAAGTTCACTTAAGTGTAGTAACAACCCGCATAGCGCGCGAGACTTATAATCTCGACATTGTGGGTTCGATTTCCGGGCTGGCCAACTTAAGTTACTTATCCGTCTTTCGGATGAGAACTTTAATCGAGGTCCCGTGTATAGAGTGCTTATACACTTGTCACTTAAAAGAACCCAGAAAACTTCTGGAACTGGGGCATCTTTTCTGATCTTGGCACTGTCCCCTGTAGGCAGAAATATAACTATAATATCTCTTTCGCGAGGATCCCGCCATATGCAACCGTGGCAGAGCTATAAGATAAGCTCAAATACACCAAATGGTAACAACCTCAATTAAAACAATACAGATCTTTACGCCAGCACTTCAACTATATATTGTTTAGCAAAAGGGCACATCCATTCTGAATCAAAGAGCACAACTTGCTACCCATAAGACTAAATCCATGTCTAATTACACCCAACTATTCATCAGAAATCTGAAACTTTATTGCGTGTGTGTTATTACCGGAAATACAATTCGCAGCTAAGACCCAGACATAATATTATGAAGTAATTAGTAAAGCTAAATGGTGGCTATTTTGTTTTACTTTTAGAAGGTCAAGGACTTCGAGTACGGCCGTGGTAGAGCAAAAATTGGATTCAGCGTACCTGAATTATGTAAAAACAGTTGACTACCTGCTTGTACTAAAATATGCTGTTAGACTCTTAACGAAGGGTCTATTCTGAAAATCAAACCCGTCTAATTTAAAACAGTCTGAAAGCCTTCGCGTTATATTATATGATTATTTAACATGTGTAAGGAGCGGGGTAATACTTTTAAATTATACATTTACGTGAATACAACATATCTTATATAGGACTATCAAATAATACAGCATTGTGATCAGACATTTACAAAACTTAATAATAATAATGATAATAATGTCACGTTAAAGAACCAGGAGAAGCTTCTGGAACTGGGGCATCTTTCTGTATCTTGCACTGTCCTCCAGAAATATAAATGACTATATCTCTTCTGGAGGACTCGCCCATATGGGCAACCGGTGGCGAGTATAAATAAACTCAAATACACACAAATGGTAACAACCTCAATTACAACATACAGGATCTTTAAAAGCACTTCACTTATATTTGTTTAGAAAAGGGTATCCATCTTGAAATCAAAGATGGCCACAATTGTACTCAATAAGTAAATCATGTTTAATTATCAGCCAATCATTCATAGAAGACTCTGAAACTTTATTGCGTGTGGTTTAACGGAAATACATTTCGCTAAGAACCAGAGATAAGTAATTATGAAGTAATTAGTAAAGCTAAATGGTGGCTATTTTTGTTTTACTTTTAGAAGGTCAAGGACTTCGAGTACGGCCGTGGTAGAGCAAAAATTGGATTCAGCGTACCTGAATTATGTAAAAACAGTTGACTACCTGCTTGTACTAAAATATGCTGTTAGACTCTTAACGAAGGGTCTATTCTGAAAATCAAACCCGTCTAATTTAAAACAGTCTGAAAGCCTTCGCGTTATATTATATGATTATTTAACATGTGTAAGGAGCGGGGTAATACTTTTAAATTATACATTTACGTGAATACAACATATCTTATATAGGACTATCAAATAATACATCATTGTGATCAGACATTTACAAAACTTAATAATAATAATGATAATATTAATAATAATCATAATAAAATTGGTAATAATAAAATTGGTAATAATAAATTGATTTCTCCATGGGCATGTGCAACCGGAACGCAAAAATGTAACAATGCGAAAATGTAACAATGCAAAAATGTAACAATGCGAAAATGTAACAATGCGAAAATGTAACAATGCGAAACAGCGAAAATGCAACTATGCAAAAAAGCGAAAATGCGAAGAGACTCTTTGTGTTTTCGCATTTTTGTATTTTGAACGCGAAAAAGCGAAAATACGACAGATGGAATGCGAACATACGACAGATTTTATGTGTCATATTTTCGCCATCCTTCTGCCGTATTTACGCTTTGTTGCCTCGAAAATGCGAAATAGCGAAAACACGAAGAGACGACAAAATTCCAACTTTGTCGTCCCTTCGTGTTGTCGCATTTTCGCATTTTGAGGCGAAGAAGCGAAAATACGACATGGCGTAAATCAGCCACCATAGAAAACAGTTATTGACTAATGCTCCATTGGATATGATGTGATATTCAATGGCTCACTAGTCAAAATTGTATATTATTTGACATTCATAGGAAATTATCGCATGGTTTGGAACTTTTCCTTTGTTCTTATTCAGTACACTTCAATGAGCATTTGGAAACTGTATTGATATATAGCAGTACAGCTTTTTCATTGATTCATATAGGAAAAAAAACTCGATTGCTATATAGCGGATCAATGTAGTTTTTTTTCACAGAGGCTCCAATGGGGCAATGGTAACAAACATTCCCAGTAGCAAAAAAAAATGGAATCAATAAAATAAAATAAATAAATACAATGAAAAGTATAAACAAAGATAATTAATAAAATGAAATTTACTCTCATTTAATCAAAAGGTACATCCGCTGAATGAATTATTTCGACTGAAAAAAAGCCCTTTAATCTTGACATCAATATTGGTAACAGTTTACAGTGCGCATCCAACATTGGATGTCTTTTGTATATCTTTTTTGCGGCAGCAAAAACTTCTATTACAAAAAAAGAAAACAATATGCCATTGCGATAAAACAGTTATAGTATATGTAACTCGTTAGTTACAAGGATATAACACTGGCTGGGCGACATCTCGGGATGTTTCTGCAAAAAACTTGTATCGGCCTAACGGCCTAGCCAGTGTTATATCCTCGTAACTAACTCGTTTCATGTACTATAACTATGACATAAAGTCTTTGTCAGTAAAATCATGACTAAAAATATGTCTGACAATCATAAAAATGCCCACTGATGACGATTTCCAATATATATTTTAAATCAGAACTAATGTCAACATGTACGAGGGACGGTCAGAAAATATCCGGACTTTTCATGCTCCTCTCTTTCCACGTGCAGCTATATACATACATTATATATTGGTGAAAACTACATTCATTCGCCAATAACGTGGTCAGTTATATTTTCAATGATAAGTTGTGTATACACAGTATTTTTTGCTGCTCTGATATATGATAGGTGTTTTCGTCTATCATGGACTCTTTGTTAGAGGAACAACACTCTGTAATAAAGTTTCTGGTTGCAGAAGGTGAAAAGCCCTGCCACATCTTTCAGAGGCTTAAAAACAGATTTTCTGATAAATGTGTATCACGTTTATTCTTCTACAACTGGGTTTCGTGAAGGCAGAACAAAGTTTGTGACAGGCCTAGGACTGGCGGCCAGCTGAGGCGGTGATCCCAACAATGGTAGCAAATGTTAAAGCTTTTGTCAAACAAAAATCGTGGAGTAACTTTGGAAGAGGTAGCCAACAAGTTTAGCATCGGTAACTTCGGCACTCATGATTTTTACACAAAACACCTAGGCATGAGCAAGGTAAGTGCCAGATGGGTGCCTAGACAGCTGTCCGCAGATCAAAAAGCAACCAGAGTAACCAATGCAAAAGAACATTTAAGTCGTTTTAATCGTGACGGAGATAAGTTTTTGAACCGCTTTATCACTGGAGATGAGATGTGGCTTCATTATTCCGAACCGGGGACAAAAGCTTAGTCAAAGCTGTGGAAACGAGCTGGTTCCCCACCTACTAAAACTAAAAAGTTAAAGCTGTCTCCTTCGGCTGGCAAAGTCATGCTTGTTGCCTTTTGGGATTCACTAGGAAAGATACATACTCATTCCATGCCAAAAGGTCAAACTGTCACCGCCAAGTTCTTATTCTGAAATAATTCTGAAAAAATCTCAGAGAAAAGCTGAAGCAAATGCGTCCCAGGTTAGCACAGAAAAATGTCCTCCTTCTTCACGATAACGCCCCCTCCCATAACGCCGCAGCTACAGTGGAGGTTATCAACTCTTACAAATGGCAATTGTTGTCTCACCCTCCTTATAGCCCAGACCTCGCCCCCCTGTGACTTTTATTTGTTTCCAGAACTGAAGAAATTGCTTGCTGGAAAGAAATATAAGACAAGGGCGGCTTTGATATCTGCTGTTACACAGTACCTAAAACATAGGTCTACGTCATGCTTCACAGCGGAGGAATACAAAAGTTCCCACGAAGATGGCAAAAGTGCGTAGACGTAGGTGGAGAATATTTTGAAAAAGTGAAGAAAGATTTTTTTTAAATGTTGAATGGTTTTCGAGAACGAGTCAAAAGTCCGGATATTTTCTGACTTCTCCTCGTAGACATTTTGAATTTCCGGTTTTTACCACATCTTATTGTAATGTGTACAGTATTAGTTTTTAATTTAGTTTAATTATACTTTCAGGGCATTTAGAATTCTGTTGAATATGTCAAAAACTATCAAAGAAATCATTTTTGAGGAATTCCTGACATGCAGTATTTGTATGGACGAATTTCAAGATCCAAAGGTACTAAAATGTCTTCATACTTTCTGTGAAGAATGTATACAGGCCACAATACAAAAGCAAATTATGACGTCACATTCGGATATTTCGTGTCCTATATGCCGGACTAGAATTGACGTTGATTCAAATGGTGACTATAACCTTCAAACTAATTTTCCAATAAAGAATTTACTGGAAATTATAAAAGTAAGTATACATTTTTTAAATTCTAATGATTTCTGAACTCAACTATCCATGCAGCACAGATGTCAGTTTGGTCCCACTTACTGCGCATGCGCGAGATTATTTTGGATTATAGTTTGAATGGCATTGCGCAATCTATTGTTGGTTATATACGTAATCAAGTAGTGTGTATTATATAATTAATCTTATTAGACGGGTTTTATAACAGAACAGAACATAACAGAAGTTTATTCAACAAAATTGACTTGAACACATCGGTTCATCGTCATTCACATATACAAGTACATGCATGTAATATAGCGAGAGTGAATATAATATTATCAATCATTTACTTTTACATATCATAAATGCATGTGTACAAATGCAGTACCAAAAACAGAGAATATCAGCATACATATTTAGGTGTATAATCATTTACTTTAACATATTCTTTTATACTATAGATATTTGCACATAAAATGTACGTTTACTAATACAAATAATTAAGGTTATTTTGCCTTTGCTTAAAAGCTTTAATACAGAAAATTGCAAGTCTATTTAATTTAACAGAGCTACCACATTTTAAAAGTTCTATGAAATTTAGCCATACTTGGGCGCGTATAATACTATTTGGGAATATACTGTATTCTTAATAATCTATATACAGGACATAACTCATAACAAAAATGGTAATTCGTCTTCTTTATCATTTGTTATACATAAGTTACATTTCCTTTCAGCGATTTCAACATGGCTATGCCTTCCAGTCTCTATATTTAATTGGTGTGATGATAAAAGTAATTTAGCAATAATATTTCTATGTTTTACACAACGTAACATATCTAAATAAGGTGATAATTGAAAAACAGTTTTTACTTCTTTATACAGGGATAGTGATGATCTATTATCAACATCTTGTCTCCATTCAGTTGTAAATATATCTAAAAGCCGTAATCTTAAAATCGGAATAAAAACTTTAACATCTACCGATTCTGGAAATAACCAGACCGATTCTGGAAATAACCAGACATCATTAAAACCAGCACTTTGTAGTATAGAACAAACATTCGAAGCCCAATTTTTAACACCATTATTTCTTTCCAAATCTTTTCTAAGGTCATCTAAAACAGTGTACATAATGCAATTATTGCGTTTCTCATCATAAATTCTGAGAAAGTATTTTACAATTCTTATATGTCTAACTATATACATAGGGTATCGTCCAAATTCACCATAATAAAGCGGAAGTACATGTTGACATTTTTACATTTAAAATCCATTTAGAAATTTCTTATGAACCCTTTCAAGATTTTCAGCTTTAAGATATCCCCAAACTTCACATAAATAGTTAAGTATAGAGGCAACAAATGAATCAAATAATGCAAGCATAATCTAACAGGTACTTCTAGCTGCTTTGTTATAGATAATAATGAACTCATGCCGGAGACCTTTTCCGGTCCAACGTTTTCGTTGCATTCATATATGAGCCGCCCTTGATAAAACAATTCCAAGATAGTTAAAAACTATTTACAATTTCCTATATTCTGACCCCGTATGTAAAATTGACAAAGTTACTTTTTTCTACCAAAAATCATTCTTTTGTTTTTTTCTATATTTACTTTGAGTTTCCATTTTTGTACAATACTTTTCAAAAATTGTCTAATGATCGTTGTAAACCTTCTGCAGTTTCAGAAAATATAACAGCATCATCTGCAAATAATAATAAATATATATGGAAATTTGATCTAAGTAAGACATGCTGTTGATCTTGCTGTAAGTACATTTCAACATCCTTTTTCATAAATAAAGAAAAGAGCATTGAGAAGTTATTTTCCTTGTAATTAGTCCAATATCACAGTTGCAAATCTGAAAAGATTAATTCTATGTTTAACACACAATTTGTATCTTCGTATAATGAACGAATAACTTAAATAGTTTTCCATTAACACCAATCTTTATAAGTTTTGCCCAAAGCCATTTCTATAAATAGTTTCCATAAGATCTTGAAACAGCAAAATAGTTTGTTTTTTTGCTTAATCTGTTTTTCAATCAAAGCATTCAATATAAATATAGCATCAACTGTATAATTGTTTATAAACCCAAATTAAGCATCAGATATAACATCATTTTGTTTTGCCCAGCTTTTCAATCTTTCATTTAATACTACGGTAAACAATTTGGCAAAGCAGCTTATTAAAGTTATACCTCTGTAATTATTTGTATCATTATGATCTCCCTTTTTGTATAGTGGTATTATTATACCCTTTGTCCATGACCTAGGAAAACACTGTTTGTCTAGTATGTAACTGAATAAAATATTTAAGGGTTTATCGAGTATGTCTATACCCACTTTAAAATATTCATATATAACATTATCTAGTGAACATGATTTGTTTGTACCCAATAATTTTATTGCTTTTCTAATTTCTTCTATAGAGAAAGGTGCATCGAGTTCTTGAAATGTAGAGCTTGTTTCAGAGAACATGTTATTGTCGAAATCATTCAAAAAATCCACACATTCATCATCTTCTTCAAAAACAAAATCTGAACTTAATTTTTTGAAATGATTAAAAAAATTCGGATATGTTAATATTGTCACCATTTTCTTTTTCTTTATTTTTCTTAAATAATTTCCAAAATTCTTTCGGTTTTTTATTTTTCATTTCATTCATTTTTAATGCAAGAGATCTATTATATTTTTTCTTTGCAGCCCTGCAACAATACTTATAATCAAATCTTTTAGCGTATAAATTATTTTTATTTTCAGCTGATTTGTTAAGATTGAACTGAGACATTGCGTTAATATATTGACGCTTTTTATCTTTACATTCTTCATTGAACCATTCTTTATTTGAATTTGAATTGGTAAAGAATGCATGTGTTAGGTTTTAACGTCGTATCTCAAAATATTTATTTCCATTATTTGTCAAAAAATGAGTAAAAATGTCAACCAGCTTATCCGTATCAGCCCGATCATCTGTACATCTATTCAAATCATAGCATAACTGTTCTACATTTTGTGTTATATCATGTAAAAATAATTGCTTATAATCCGGATTCCATCTATAAAAAATGCGGTCCGGGATATCTGTGCAACATGTTACGGTACATGATTTCAGTGCAAATGAGACAGGTGCATGATTTGAGTGTACTGTATAATCATGTACCTCAAAAGCAGATATATTTTCAAAATTTCTTAAATCTGTCAACAATAAGTCAACTTGGTTTTCCCCGTTATGAGTAAAACAAGTTGTTTTACCTATATTTAAATCATTTCCTAGACGACCATTAACTATACGTAAATTTAAACCGTTACAAAGATCAAGTAGGCGGTCTCCAAAACGATTTGAACCATGATCACGGGTTGCTCGTGGTAAATATGAATCAATTTCAAAATTATCGTGTCCTTTTAACGGTTTATCATTCATAATAAAATCGGATTGTCTGCCTACTCTGCTATTCAAATCGCCAAAAACATAAACTTGACCTTGATCTTTGTATCACTGAATATCCGCCTCTAATTTGCTAAATATATCAAAATCGTAAATATTGTGTATTGGCGAATTTTCAGGTGCAATATAGGTTGAGCATAAATAAATGTCATCTGTTAAACGAAAATATATTTTATCAAGTTTAAGCCACATAATACAGTCAACTTCATTTTAAATTAACTTTACTCCTTTTGTTAATGAGTTTTTTACATATATTAAAAGTCCACCACTTCATCTTTTGGCTCTTTTGTTTTAGTATTTACGATATGAATTATATAATTTATATCCATTTAGATCAAGAACAGAATTCTTTTAGACCAAGTCTCATTTAAAAATATTAAGTCATAATTTCCAATAAAGGTACTAAAATCACTACTTGATCGCTTATCATTCGTTAAACCTTCAATGTTCCAAAAAAAGACACTTAAGGTCACTCTCGCGATTGTCCTATTTCTTGACCGGCGCATTCTCTCCTCTGTACAACATGCCATCTATGTACAATTTGTCTCCCCTCAGAAATTCTTCCTTGTTTTCTTCCCTGGCCTTTACCATGATCGGAATTAATCGGCTCCTATTTTCCAAGACTTCCTTCGTATTTTGTTCACTCACCCCGTATGGTTTTTCAAGTGATTTTGAGATTATGCGTACTTTTTCTCTGTCAGGGAAAAATGCAAATTTTGCGACTATCGGTCGCGTTTTGTCCGACCTATATTTGCCTATTCTATGGGCGCGGTGTAATTTAATATTATCTTTTGCATCTGTAATTTTCATTTTATGCTCTATTACCTCCAGAACTTTATCTACACAGCTTGAATTTGTTTCATCTTTCTCTTCTTGAATACCGTAAAATAACAAGTTATCTCTCATACTTCTGCTTCTTATATCTTGAATATCTACTTGCATTTCTCTCTCTTTTTCTTTTTGTTCTTTTTCGAGCCTTTTCATTTTAAATGTTAGATCATCTAGTTCCTTTTGTTTCTGGCAAATATCATCAACACGTTTCGATTCAAAAGCCCAACTTTGCTCCATATCTGACATTTTTGTTTCAATGGCGATGACCTTTTGATATAAGTTGTCCAAATGAACAGTAAATTTGTCTATCGTCGTTTGAATAGAATTAAGTGTGGACATTTTTTGTCAATATTATCAAGCCTTTGTAATAACGAGGAAAACTGATCACTAGTCACCGTATTTGATTGTACTTGTTGAGGCAATGTTATATAATTTGGCATACCTGGTGTGGCCTGATTCAATGCTTGCATAAAAGACATCTGCTGAGACTGCGGTGATATAACATGTTGACTTGAATGTGGGCTAATAAATCCGTAGTTACATTGCCCATTCGGTGGCTGAAACGGAATTAATGGTGTACCTGGTTGAGACCCGCTAGCCATTGTTGATCGTTTTGTGTCGTTGCCCGAATCCTGGGGGGAGCTATTGTTCTTTTTTCTTTTTCCCATTTAGCAAAGAATAACTAAATTAAACACTTCATATTTTTTATGGTCCATACCAATATTGATTTCTCATCACTTT